AGCGGGGAGAAGGGGGACGGGAGGCCCCAGCTGGGCGGGCGGGGAGGCTGGGCCGCCCCCCACCGCCCCCCCGGTGTGAGCCCGCGGCTGCGGCCTGCCTTGCTCTGCCAGCGCCGGGCAGCCGCCGCACGCCCGGGAGTCAAGAAAACAAATGTCTCCTCTAGTGGATTTCTAAGTAACTGCGTGACAGAGAGTCTGCTCTTAATCTCTCAACGTTTAGCTTTTAAATTGTCTCTTCATTCATTCCCGGTTTTTATAAAACTGGTTTATAAAGTCCTGCCACATGTCTTAGGATGAGTATGAATACCGTAAGATTAACTGCAAAGTTATTTTAATAATCTGCAAGAGTGCAAAAATTGAAGATTTAAATGTCTGTTAAAAACCGCATGTGTTATGCTACAGCAATACACAAAAGTATTGAAGTAACTTTCAGTGCCATACTACGACTATACTATAAAAGTATTTTACTATTGAATTTTAGTTTTGTGATCCTATGTTAGACTGATAAGCCTTAAAACAATATGCCTTTTTTTGTTGTTTTTTAATTAGCGGTTGCAGCATTTATTAGTCTTCCTGCTACAAGGGAGGAAGAACTACACGGAAGTCACGTTTGAGCCCTGTTTTGCACCAATGTCCCAGCTTCACTTCAGCTGATTCAGTGCGTAGTAACATTACGGAAAGCCCAGCCTACAGATAAAGGGCCCTTTACAAGTAGTGCCACTGGGTAAAATAATCTCCAGGCATTGTAGTTAACAGCTGTATTAATCTCTTTCTGCATCACTGCTCCTAATATAAACCAGACATCATACAGAGATATCTTAGACTAATTGTTGCTAATGATCTGAGCTGTTTGTCTGAGTATACTTATACTGGTGTTACAGTGAGATACAACTATTAACAGATCAGTTTAATTACAACATTCCAGTTAACCTTCAAGATACACATTTTGCTCTCTTAAGAATTCAAACAAGTTGTATTACTTTATTATTGGAACAAGAAACATAATTTTTGAAGGACAGAAATACAAATTGAGTTTATTTCATAACTAATGGATTAGAAAGAAATACTGTTAAAAAAATGTATCCTTTGTGAATAACATCAGGAGCTCATTGCTTCAAGTTCAGCACTGCATTACGTGTAGGAAAACTGTCTATTTTCTTCTAATAGGAAAATTCTGTAACTTCAGTTACTTAGTAGAACATGGTTCAACGTTTTACAGTGTCTTATGAGTAAAAATTAATCTTGCAAACACGAAATTTCAAGCTTCAAGCAGGTAATAGACATATGCTCATTTTTCTAGCACCTTCCATTCTCTCCACTACCATCAAGAAATATGTAATGATGCATAAAGACCCAGCTATATCTGCTTTTTCACAAGTAAGAAATAAAGTGCTGAAAAAAACAGGGAGGCCTCAGACACAGAGCAAAACCACAGAAGTGGTGAATAAAGTGAATTTGTTTAGAGAACAGCTTTGAGTCACATGTACAATCAAGAGGTATTCTGACTTTTCAGTTCATGAAGTCACTTTTTTGCATGGCTAGTGAGTAAATCAAGATATTTTTCCGCATGACTTCTTCATTGTTTCAGCATCCTGGGAATGTCCCTTTAACTAGTAGTTTCTGGATTATCCTGCCTGTGTGTTTATCACAAACGGGTAAGTCTCCACTAGGCTGAGGAGTACATACGTGCCTGGAGGGTGACTGATTCCACTTCTTATTTGTCTTACTTCCCACCTTCTGTTATACCGTTAGTCAGTGCACAGACCTGATGCTGGACAGAGTTCCTAGAATTGGAACAAGGTGAGTACTTGCATCAACCTTCACCCCATTTGTTGGCTGATACATTCAAAAGCAATCACATATTTGGGCCAGGATGGAAAAAAAAACCCACAACTATTCCAAAAGGGAAGATGTCAGTAAGAACGAAGTAGGTTTATCCCTGTTCCACTATGGGCAGACAGCCAAATGGGCAGAAACTTTTCTCTATTGCAGAACAAGGGCTGCAACATTCAGCTGTAGGATGGTAATTTTTCCTCCCATAATCTTCAATGAGAGAGTAAATAGTACAGCAAAAGATGTGGGTGTTCCTACCCATGCATGTCATGAGTGTTGACTGGGGGTTAAAGGAGGAGAAGCAGAAGCACTGTATAGTGTCCTGAGGCAATCACTGTATGTCTTATTGATGTCTTTATCAGAGGTCATCACATGTTCATGGCCACCTTTGTCTCTGTCCTGTTTATTAGAGTTGGTAGTTGGAGCAAATCAGGTAATGGAGAGCTGCTGAGGCAAAAAATGAGATGGGGCAAAATGGAGAAAATGCAGAAAAACTGTTAGGATACAAACTGGGGTTATAGGAAGCAGAAGAAAGAATTTAATCCAGAAATAAGTTTGAGCTTCAAAAAGAGAAAATGTAAGATGCAGAGGAGCATATGGACAGTGTCCTACTTGCCTCTTTTAATATGTGTTGTCTTTAATGTAAATGCAAAGAGAGAAGATACAGGAAGGAGTAACTGTGGAAAGGAAGAAAACTTATAGATGTACCTTCTAGGCAGGGAATCAGGTAGGAAATGGGTGTGATCAAGATTTAGAATAGGAAATGTGCCAGATAAGAGAATTAAGACATTTCCAGTATGAATTTTCTAGAAATAGGAAGGGTTGCCTCTGTTACTCTGAGTTTTCATGGCTTGGTCAGTTTTCTCCAGTAACTCTAGTTCTGGCCTGTCGCAGATACCATTAGAAAAGGGTATCCAATTAGTTTTGTTCAAAATTACTTATATTATATATAATTTATATATTATATATAAACTAATAATTTTAGTTTATATTTACTTAAACTAATATAAAATTCCCCTGAATTAGTTCTTTCAGTGGCTTATGGAATGCTCATCATAACTATGGCTGATGTAGGGGGTGGAGGGAAGAGATATTGCCCTGATTAGAGGAAAGCACATTGGGTCTAAGAGAAATAACTCAGAATAATTCCTCATAGTACAAAATTACCCACATAGCTCAGACTAGTGTCCTTCTGAGTAACATGCTATTTGCATAGCAGATCTGCAGGTTAGACCTGCTCAGACAGTAGCATGTTTGTGAGCTTTACATTACCAAAACACTTTCTAAGTTTTACAGTCATGAGTCAGCGTTCACATACTCACTTTACCTTCTTCCTCATCCCTGACCTGTTTCAAGTTTGTATATACTTTTACCAGGCTCACACAATGTGAAGAGCCATAAAATTCCAAATTACAACAATTGCTAATTTCACACGCACAGACACAGAGATCTTCACATATTTGTGGGACTGGAGTGCAGCCCCTTTATATGATGTTTGCATTGCTTAAATGCCATTAATATTACTTAATTGATATGCATTTAATGGTTGCTAAGACAGTTGTTATTAAGGGCATCATTTTTACTGACACCTTTGGGTGTTTTAAAGCTGAAAGATCAGTCTTTAATCTGCATTTTCTTGCTGTGTGCATTACCAACAGTTGAAGCTTTTCAAGGACTTTTGTTTTCAGTGGCAAACATAAATGTACGTGCACAGGTCATTTGGTACGGCACATATGGATTAAACCTTGAAAATATTTTCAAGCTGCATGAAACTAAGACCAACAGAGTTTTTGGTAAGAGATTTGCCTTAATTGGAAAGGCTTAAAATAAATGATCATATGATTAAAAAAAGCAAGGATTGCCTGCTATTTGTTGTAACCCCTATTTCTGTAATGCCCCTGTAGCCAGAGAAGCAGCTGTTCATTGCTGACATTCTCCCTGCCAGGCATTCCAACTCTCTGAGGTAATGGGCTACAAGCATACGGGCCTTCGCTTTAATTCTTTCAGCGTATCCTTCCGCATGGATAGAGCAAGGGGAACGCCTCCAGGAAAAGAAAATAAATGCACACACACTGAGGCACACGGAGACGGGTGATTTGAAAATATTCCCGAGAACACAATTTGCACTCATGCAGCACAGCGTCACATGAAAGAGGCTGCTTGAAGAGCTGGCTGGCACAGGTTTATTTTGTTGTAATATTTTCTTCCACCCCCAGCTCTTTACCCAGTGGAATGATATCCAGAGCAAGTTTTTTGAGACAGGAAGTGAGGAATGTTTTCACTATGAGTGATCTGAGAGGAAGGTGGGTTAGCCGAGATAGCAGCTGTTTCATACAAGAGGAACACAGTAAGTCAGTTCCCAAGGAATACCGATGAGATGGCTCTGGGAGAAAAAGTCTTGGAGTGCTGTGGGGTTTTTTTGGCTACACGTATGTGAAAGGAGACACGGTGTCTTTGAATTGCTGCACAAGGTAAGAGAAAAACAGCAGGCACAGCAAATAAATAGCAGGTGATCTTCTCTGCTGTACAGTAAGACTGAGGAGTTTCAATCATTTACTTTTTGAGAAGTAAAGGCTGTAGAATTGTGCTTCTGGAGGTGGGGGAGGTTTGAGATGGACACTTACTGCTGTTCTTTCAGTCCAAGAGTCATGTCAAAGATTAACTGGTAAAACAAGGGGAGGGTGGAGTATTCTGATTTTTTTTGGCTCCGCAAATATTTCTGAAATAAATTTATGTATTTTAAGTATTTGAAGTAATAGGGACCCTTTTTCACCATCATACACTGCAGTTTTATTTTGCACGCTGTCATTCATGCAGGTTGTTTAAAAAATCTTTGTAAAGTAAAATGCTAATTATTGAGGAAGGAGAGGGAGGTGTAGGTAAAGGGGAAAGTGCTCAGTAATCACATGTCAGTCACAGCCACGTTGCTGAAATTCTAATACAACATTTTTGAAACTGTATGTCTGTGTTGAAATATAAATGTACAAAGTTTGGCCACTAAAGACATTTTTAGCTGTTGCATGAAATTCCAGGCATGCTAAATAAAGGCTTGTTATTGTAGAGGTCTTCAATTGGATTTGTAACTCCTGGCAGTATGTAGTGCCTTTTTGC